CGTTCAGGAGTGTATTCTTTTCGTGATTTCTTCATTTTTTATAGTACCTCCACCACGGGACCATGTCCAACAAACGACGATGGCTTAAAGTGCACGAGATACGGTAGCGTTCGTTTTCCCACTCTTTTCATCTGCCCTTGCTTTGGGCGGTCATTTACAATTGGTTCGCTGTGCCCTGCCCGAATTTTCTCAAGCAAACTGTGCACTGACGCCCGTGAATCCTGGTCTTCCCGCATGCGGGGGAAAGGGTCCACAGCAGAAGCAGAGGGTGCCACTCTCTCCGGTCAATATGGGTACGGGATCGGTGCTGTGGAATAGTGACATCCGAGTGCCGTCTGTATACTCCGGCCACGCTGCCGCACGGCCAGACACAGCCAACCAAACGCGCTCCTTGTTTGCTCTCTTTTACTTCAGAATATTCCCTACCTCCGAGTACTGCTTCGCTGCAAGGCCTTAGTATTGACGTAGGTGCTGCACCTTGAGGATAAAGCCGTTGATGGAGCGGAGTGTGGAAGCGGCACTTGGGTACCGATAACCTGAAGCCCCATCGTTGTGCACTTGACGAACGTGGCACGTTCATGCAACTGCAGATCTGCTCGCCTCGCACATGGCAAGGACCCTTCTCATGACTGCACGATTTGGCTTTAAGTCACGAAGTACCGTTGATATCGTTGTAGTCAGCCTTGCGGTATCAGGAGTGTTGGAATGAGCAGTTCTCGTGCTTCTTCTACCAATAGTGATCGGTTAGTAATGGTTCCAAAAGAGACAACCAGTGGTGAGAACGCCGCAAGTAGTAACTCATTACATACCTTCTGACACCGGCTGACTGCGATCATAACAACTGTATTATTCACATGAAAATTATCAGCGCTGACCTGCCTGCCACATATTCGTCTGAACGAGGGATATTCCGAAGACAGAAAGGGTTACTGCTGGTTAGGGTCAATAGCGGTGCTATATCGGAAGGATTCGGGCCACCAGGAGGGTATCCTGCGTTCTCAGGAACTTTTGGAGATGGAAAAAATAGCCTTATACTCCCTACTGAAGTCGAAATTATAACCTGATCATTCATAGATGTCATTTTCCACTGCTTCTGCCTTGTTTCTTGTTCACTTTTTTACAGTAGTTCAGGCTATTACGAAATGATCCAATGTGATGGTGCTGGCTGCTTCTGTGTATCTGCTAACACCGGTCTCACCGCTTTCGATACACGCACATCGAATAATAGGACGCAGCCCAGATGCTCAGGTG